CATGGAGAGGGTCCAGAGGAGGGCCACCCGCATGATCCGGGGACAACAAGACAGACCCTAGAATGAGAGACTGCGGGACCTGCATCTGTTCAGCCTTCACAAGAAAAGGCTGAGGAGGGACCTGGTGACTGTCTGTAAACTCACTAGGGGGGACCAGAAGGGTTTGGGAGAGACCTTGTTTCCCCTAGCGCCCCCTGGCATAACAAGGAATAACAGCCACAAGTTGTTGGAGAGTAGGTTTAGATTAGACGTCTGTAAAAACTACTTCACAGTCAGGGCGGCTAGGATCTGGAACCAACTTCCAAGGGAAGTGGTGCTGGCTCCTACCCGGGGGGTCTTTAAGAAGAGTCTTGATGCCTACCTGGCTGGAGTCATTTGAGCCCAGTTTTTCTCCTGCCCTGGCAGGGGGTCGGACTTGAAAATCTACAAGGTCCCTTCCAACCCTACTTCTATGATTCTTTTCACGAGCAGATCTGGAGGCATACCACCTGCCTGCACCTGAGACCTCAAATGACACTGATGTTAATCAGCCTAGCCCCTCACAGAAAATCATCCCCGGACCTCATGCCAGACCAAGCCAATGTCACACACCCCACTGTTCCCTCATTCTCACAGCTTTCTATCCCCTCCACATTCCTACTGACCGCTCCCCTCTACTCCTGCCAACTGCCCTCCTGCCACTACCAACAAGACCCCTGAAAGCCACTCACAACGAGCCAGTCCTTAGCTTCCCATTACCCATAACTGAGGCAACCAGAGATATGGAAAGGATGGATGGCCATACAATGCCCTGGTAAGTTTCAGCACTCCAACACAGTAATCCCTATTTCTTTCCACCTCTGACCCAGCTGTCCGGTGGGGCAAGAGGTCTCAGATTGTCACTTAAGAGGCCCTAGGGTAACCCTGAAGACAGCCCCCCCTCCCCCTCAAAAAAACCAGACATGGTTTTGGAGTGCATGAGTCAGTGTGGGGGAAGGGTGAAGCTTTCTTGGAATCGCTGCAGTGTGGGATTTGTAATGCAAACCATTAGGATGAATTACCAACAGTGGAGTACCAACAGTTGGGGAGTGCGGGTGTCCTCCAAGCTAGAGAAATGGGGTGCTAACACATCGTGTTACAGTCTTGTGCTAGGTCCTGGCATGGTCTGCATGGACCTGTCACCAGGATGAAATAACATCTTGTAACAGAGGCAGAGGCTCCTGTTACTTTAAAGGGACAGTGAGACAGACTAAGCTTGCTGCGGAGGGCCAGCTGCATTACAATAAGCAACCAAGGGCAGCCCCCAGGTGTGGCAGGAGTAAAGACTGCAAGAAGTCAAACTAAGCTGCATCAGAGGGCAGGCTGGCTATCAAGCAAAAGTATAAACTCTCATGTGTGGCCGGAGAGCCACCTAACAGGAAGGGGTGGGGCTTTGAAGCACATAAGACCAGTGCTTGAGATTAAGCAGGCAGTCTGGCCTTGCATGCTGCAGAGAGAAGAGCTCCTGAGCGAGTTAGCTGCAGGAGACAAACTGGCAGGCACCCAAGCCACCTAACAGAGCTTGAAGGAGAAAGCTAAGGGGGCCCCACTAAAAAAAGGATGTGGACAAATTGGAGAGAGTCTAGAGGAGGACAACAAAAATGGTGAGGGGGCTGAGGGACATGACTCATGAGGAAAGACTGAGGGAATTGGGCTTACTTAGTCTAGAGAAAAGAGGAGACTGATGGATTTAATAGCAGCTTTCAACTACCTGAAGGGGGGTTCAAAAGAGGATGGAGCTAGACTGCTCTCGGTGGCGGCAGATGACAAAACAAGGAGCAACATACCCTATACCCCTCACACACAACCACACCCCCGACATGCCTCACCATATAGCCACATATACCCCACACCTCCCCATACAAAGTCCCCCACACCTCACCATACACACACACCTCACACCTTACCATACCTTACCATACACCCCCTCACAAGACACACACACGCTATACAAGAGTAGTTTATTTTTAAGCGATTATGCAATCCCTTCTATATAGTACACAAGCAGAAATCATGACAAATATTTTTGTAATAAAATTAAAATATGTTATAGTAGGTGTTTAGATTTTAGTGTATGATTTGTCTTTTTTCTGGTTCCAAGATGGCAACCCCCCATCCCAAAAGGAGTATTTCTGGAGGGCAAGGGGAGGGACTTCTGGTAGCAAAGGTCAGGAGTTAGGAGGAGAGACTTCTGATCCCAATATGGTGACCAGGGGTGGGGCTACCCATGCGGCCCTCGACAGCTCACCAAAACTTGTTCAGTGGCCCTCCAGCTGAAATAATTGCCTGCCATGGTCTATCAGCTGGTTCCTCATGTAGAAAGGAAGCCCTTGCCCTCTTCAGGAGGCTATGCCTTCAGGGAGGACCATCTCCTCCAACAACAGGATAGTATATATGAAGGAAAAACTCCCCACTCCCATCTTTGGCTCAGGATAATAGGGCCATGACTATAGAAAAAAGCATCCTGAAAAATTCAGAGACAGTAGACAGCCCCTTGACCCACAAGATGGCTATGACACTTCTCCCACTGTACCATCCAGAAGGTGCTGGATGGCATGACATCACTTGCACAGTGAGTCCTATTGTGGATTTGCCTACAGCAAAGCGGTTGCCCACAGATTGGAGGTTATCAGGTTGCCAGGTTCCAGATAGTGATGGCCATGCATTTCCCCAAGGTGAAAGGTACCATAATGCTGATGCCTTGCTGTTAAGGCAATGTGGGCAGCTTTGTGCAGAGATCTCTGAAGATGACATGACTCATCTGAAAGTTCTACCACTGCTGGTCATCACCTTGTGCCTTCAGAACTGTGTGCTTCCACCAGTCACTGCTCACCAACATGGCCCAGAAGTGCCACCGCAGTTTGCAAGTGATCCCACAGAAGACATCTTCCTGGGTGTCCTGTATGGCTTCATCCTCAGAAGTGTTGGTATCAACACTGCAGAGCAGATGGCACATCTTGAGAAGACACCTTTCCAGGGTTTGGGTTATGGTTTGTTACTGTGCCTTTGTAAACCAGCTGGTGCATGAGTGAGAAGATAAACATGCAGCATGCCCAGATGGGCCATAAGTCTCTGAACAGGACAGGAGGGACAGAACCTCACAGTAGTGCTCAGTCAGGAACTGCAGGACAAGGAGACAGTAGGCATCTATTCTTGGCCTCCTGGGGCAATGGCATAACTGATAAGCCCTCCTATGGTGAAGTGGCACCAGACACCCAATGCATGCTGGGTATAGCACATAGCCAATGAGCTATTTCCTTTGCACTGGCTGTCCTCAGGAACCCTCAGACCCAAAAGGCAGGCTGGGATCTCTGCTCTCCAGCGCCCTGGCTGTCATAGCATGTACTTGCAACCATTCTGAAGCATTTTGGATGGGAGGAGCCTATATGTCTGCCTAACACTGACGCATTCCAAAATTGAAGCACTACAAATTGAAGTGAGATTTGAAGGAATTAAAAAAGACGTCTCTCTAAACCCGGAGAACAAAATGATAGATAGAATATATTGTAAAAATAGTTTTTGTATCATTTAATTTCATCTCCTTTCTTATACTATCCTGTGATATGATTAAAATGATAAAGATAACTATTTAAAATATTATTACTCCTGCAATCAGATAAGACCATACCACTTATCTAAAGTCAATGACCTATCTTTTCCCAAATATTTCCCACATCTGGTGCATTCAATATATGCTTGTTATCATAAAGTGTAATATAATCACAGACAGACAAGAAAGGAAAATATCTTTCCATCTTGCAGCATTTTTGTTTGTTTGTTTGTTTTTGTTTCAACTAAAAACTGGACAAAGTAGAATATAAATGAAAATGCTCACCCTGTTTCTGTGGGCATTGATTGACGCATACCGTACTGTTCCTCGAAAACCAGCAACAGCTCGTGGCTTTAAAAAACAAACAGAAGAAAAATATGAGATTTTCGGAACTGTAGAAAATAAGTTACCCAATCACACAACCACCATGTATAAGCTAATTACAGTTCAGAAGAAGGTGCAAGGTAAATGCCATCTGGACCCAATGGTACTACCAGAGATTATGATAACCACTTTGAGTTCCCATGAAAGTATATGCGTCACATATCAGCACTTGGCCTACTCTTTCAGTTCTTTTATATAGGTCAGATTTTGTTCTGCAGAAGCATCAAATCCCCAAAGAGGAAACTTAAGATAAATGTCAAATACACTATTTTTTTCCTCTACTGACAAGAGGATTAAGTTTTGGTTCTGAATCTCAGGAAGCTTGACGTTTTAAAGTATAAAAGGATTATAAATACACTAGTCCTTTCCAACTGCTCAAAGATACTAGTAAGCCTGAGCTCTCCAGTGCCAAAAAAGTAGCGTGGGATAAGCCATTTTTTAAAACACATAAGCAATTTTTTCACAAATTATATTTTGGATAAAAAGGTGCATATTTGATTTAAGAAATTCCCAGAGAAGTAGAAACCATGTATAAGGGCTAAGTATCACATATTGAGTAGACTATAATATGAACAAAAGTTAATATACTAAAGAAAAGAATGTATGTATATGTCGCAGGGGCACTTTGGTGCCCTGCTGCTAGAAAGAAATACAGGTGTTGGTTGCCAAGGTAACCGCAGTCAGTCAGCTGACCGGAAGGGGGCAGGGCCTGGCCCATATAAACAGCCTAGGCTGAGGCCAAGCAGGCAGTTCCCCTCTGGCAGCCATGAAGGAGAGCTCTGCCGGGAGTAGGCAGAGTTGGGAAGCCTGATGATATGAACACCTCCTGGGTGAGGATACCAGGCAGAGGAGCCCTGGCAGGGATGGAATGATGATGAGCCAGAGAGGGCTTAGGGTTACGTTTTAAGCCATGAGGCTAGAGTTTGAGTTGGGGCCGACTGGCTGATGGTTTTAGTTATTGTTATAACTGGAGGATCGGGTGAGGCTGTAGGGGTTGGAGGAGGCCTCAAGGGAGCTCCCCAGTAGCGTGAGAGGGGGTTCCTGGTGCCAGAGAAGGGCACAGCAGTCAAGAGGTGCATTGACCCAATTTGGACAAGGGGTTCAGTGCAGTGAGGGCCAGGTAAGGCTGAGGCCACCTGAGCCCTATTGAGCAAATGAGCAAAGCCTCAGGGCGGCGTAGGACCCAGAAGGGGGGTCTGAGGGCCAGGTAAGGCTGAGGCCGCCTGAGCCCTATTAAGCAAAGCCCAGCAGGGCACAGAAGCCCCGGAGAGGGGGCGAGCGCACTGAGAAGCCCTGGAGAGGGTGCTGAGACAGAGCAGGGCCCGGTGGGGCCTTAAGTGGGAGACAAGCCCGGAGGGCGTCTGCGAGGACGTGGGCAACAATAGTATTTTTGACTCAACAATGTCCGGTACAACTGAGAGGTTTGGGACGTGGTATTAGGGGTGGTAGGAGCACGTATAGCCCTGTGGCGGGAGTGTCCAGGATTATCAGGGGACGGGGTACAGGCGGGAGGATGCCTGGGGACCGTGCCAAGGAGGACAGAAAAGGCAGCCTTCCTTTAACAACATTACCAGCAAAGACGTGGCGGGCGAGATAACGAGGGTGCGTTTTGTAGTCACTGAGGCACGGTAGGGGCGTTAGGAGAGATCACGGCCACTCGTAGTGTCCCGCCCCGTGACAATATACTGCATCAAATGTTGTAATACAATGATGGTAAGCACAATATCAAAGCAACTTCTTTCTCCAGGAGCTCATTCTTTTGCAATTTTCTGATCCAGCTAATTCTCTACAGAGCAGAACTTCTCTTCTAAAGGAATTTTTCCCAATATGACTTTCTGGTCTGACCCTTTACATTAGGCAGAGCAGAACAACTTTAGCCTTAAAGTGGTCACTCTAACTGGCAACATCCTTCTCTTTCACTCTTTCTTCTAGCTCGCAAATACCTGTTTTCCTTTTTAATTGATGAGAAACATTTATATTCTAGCAACTGAAATTTAACTTTAAAAGCCATAAAACAGGCATAATTTCCTGTTGCTTTTGCTCATTACAAAATGAGAAGTATAATTAAAAATTATTATAATATTCATATTTATTTCCTGTTGCTTTTGCTCATTACAAAATGAGAAGAGTAATTGAAAATTATTAAAATATTCATATTTATAGCACAAGGTAAATAAGTACCACACTGCACTTACTTCCTAGATGTGATGTCTATTTCAGTCCCTTAAAACTCAATCAACCCATACTGGGTATTGACAGATGAATACATAGTCTGGTGTAATTTACTTCAGTTTCCTATACAAGTATGAAGTTACACAGGGTGCAGGAATAAACAACATGCAGCTAGCTCATACAGTAAGTAACTATTACTGCACCTTACTGGTAAGTGTGGAGGAAGCAGGCCTTAGCCTTTAACAAACAGCCACCATCAGATGGGCACAGATGGACAAATTCTGAACCAGTGTATTAACTTACACTGGTAGAATTCGACCCCTGATTTTTCAAACAGTAATTCTCCACCAGAGTGAGTGAAATTATCCTGTTTCAGAGGTTTGTATCATCTGTCTGCTACTCTTTTACACTGGTGTAAACATTTAATCTGTCCACTTCCATATTTACAGCAAATAATTCCTGTTTGAATATGATGACTGTTAAATCTGTCTTTTCTTCCAGAACCTAAGGCCCCTTTTATGGTGAGATGGGATTTTATATCCGATCCCAACAATCACACCTCCTGCTGTGCCACATGTACATTGCACAATATGCAATTTTGGCATCAGGAATCAGATCCCAATTGCACCATTACTGCTTACCATAGAGGAGCCTAGGATTGGATTCTGGGCTCTCCCTGCACCCACAAGTTGAAAACCAGATGCTGCAGCCCAGCACATGGGACCAAAAGATGACAATCAGCTGACTGCCAGCCCTGACCTGGACAGCCCCAGGTCCAGTTCAAGAACTGGGGCTTGTCTAGGTACCAGGCCAATAATTGGCTGATTGTCAGCCCAAAATCCAGAGTCTCAGGTTCAGTTTACCCAGGATTGTCCAGGCAGACAATCAGCTGGTTTTGAGCCTGGCTGGAAAGCCCCAGGTCTGGAGCCTCAGCCTGACAAACAGCTGATTATCAAAGCTGCAGAACTAGCAGCAATGGCCAGGCTGCTGGGTGCAGCGATCAGAGGCCCCCAAAAGGGGGCCTCTGGCACAGGACTTAAAGAGAAGACCTTCAATTCCCCCTCCCCAGCCTTGGCCAGGGTTGACAATCAGCTGAATATCAAACCCCAGCCACATGTTAAAATTAAGATGCCTTATAAACCATCCATAAAACTATTCTACACTATCTATGGAACATTTTTAGGACTCATTTGCCACTTTATAGTGCCAGAAATTGGGTATGCATGTAGCACCCATCTCATTTATGCTGCAGTTAACATGTTAATTGTGGCAAAAACATAACATGTAGATGGCATCTCTAATTTCTTCTTTTTAGGTCTTATAAAAATGTTTGCAACACCCTTGAATTTTCAACTCCAAGTCTCATATGAATTTAGAGGGAGTAAGGTTGAATTCTGTGGTCCCTGGGACCCATGACAATTCTTAGATTTTCCAAAACATCTCATAATATTTTGTATGAATTAACTCTTGTTTGGAGATAACCATTATACAAATTCTTACTCTAACTAGCAAAATTTCCTTAAAATCACTAGCATGACTTGAACAAACAATAGCTCAATGTAAGCAACAACAGGCCCCCCTGCTATAAATGAGACAGAAGCTACTGTCACTGTCTGTAACACTACATCAGATTGGCTTGGTCTCAACACGATTACATGACAAAATGTTAAAAGAAGAGAGTGGCCTATCTAAATAATAGCTTCCAGCACTGCACCAGTGGAACTGAAACACTTAGAAAACCTGGGAATTTTTTAGAGCGAGTCCACAGTAAATATTTTTTGTACTTGATCACAAACAAGTTTTGTAAGAGAATTTAGTTAAAATTGTAATTAGTTTAAGCTTTACAGCATAAAACATTCTATATGTTTTAGAATAAACCTCCAATCAGTGTAATGGACTAAGGATAAAACCCCTGGGAAAAATGTATGCTCCAACAGTTGCTATATGCCACATCTTCTGTATAACTTTTGTTACACCTCTTCACTTCTGTGTCTCAGTTTATCTGTCTACACAGTGGAAACAAATACATTTTAACCATCTCACAGAGAAGTTGTGGAGTCTGGCTAGTGTTTGTTAATGTTTTTCTGGCCCTGTTTTCCTGATACCGAATCCTATTGACTTAAAAGGGCAACCTGTCTGCTCAAAAACTCTGGAATCAGTCCCTTCAAAGAACCTTCAGATATTTAGAACTAAGGCACTATATACATGCACAGTACTATTGATTATGATTATACAAGAGGTTTCCTCCAAGAAGGTCTCTATCTGGGTTCTATTTAGCATATACAGCTCATTTCAAATCAGGACAGTGCATTGAAGCACAGACCACAACCTGCTTCTGTAGCTGCTTGAGTCTTATCTGCCCTTACTACCAGATTTAGGGGGCATCTGGATTTGGTTCTTTTTATCAGGACTGTATAACTGCTAAGGAAGGAACTGTAAGTTATACTTGCTCTCTATGTAATACCACTTAGGACTCCCTACCTTGATTTTCGTGGGTGTGGACTTTACCTTGAATAGAAGGATCATGGAATTTCATGCCACACTTTCCATGCTATAATGTAAGTTTAGGCAGTTTCTCCACGTATTTTATTACTGCCAAGTTTCAAAATAATCTAAGCTTTTATTTTTAAGTTTCTAGCCCAATGGTCCTAATGATAAGGAAATCATCATCCAAGGAAGGATAACAAGACCTTCTCTTAATTGGATTGTTTCTAAAGACAGCTATATAATAGAGGTAAATTTCCAAAGGATGAGGATAGTCTCAGCAATAGCACTTTTTCTGCAGGATATTGATA